AATGCTAAAAGGTAGATTTCTTAATTTGTGTGAAAACATCCAAAAAATCACTTATTTTGGACCGGAGGGAGTATTGGCAAGCCAAGATTATGGAACAATAAATCAGGAAGCACTAACTAAGGTATTTTTCAGCTGTGAATTTTTTCATCGGAAAATATATTTGGACAAACTAAGAATGGCCGAAATGTCCAGAATGGGAGTATTATGGTAATTTCGCACGGCTTTTGAGGGCGTAATGGATATTTAAGCATTTTCGTTTTTAAATATACCCTTTAGCAGATTTGTTTTTTAATTTAATTTTTTCCCTCCAATTCTCTCTCATTAGTTTAATTGTCTTACCTTCCCCATGCTTCTTTCACATTTACACATGCATGCTACACTATTTTTCATAAAGCAATTTATACTCATATACATATACTATACCAATTAAACGAAATAAACTAAAAAATACGCATAGTATACTAAAAAAATACGATTAAACTACTGTATTATAGTTTTTATATTACTGTATCACTAAAATAATATTGTATTACTTTCTAACTCTAACACTTAATATATAGTGCTTCAACTAAGAAGCTACTACAACAAATGTGATTTTTAACCACGAAAATATTAGCTGCAATAGAAAATTTATCACTAATTATCGATTTTCTGTGACAAAAATTATATTTCGTACTTAAATACACGAGGCACATACTTTTAGTGACAAAACATAAATTTCGTAGCAAATTTTTGTCTACTAAAGTTTCCACAAAAAAATGAATTGGCGCCAAATATTGATTAATATTAGCCACAAAATTAATATTATTGGTGAAAAATTAGTTTCATCACTAATGTTGTAGACAATTGGTGACAAATAATTGTTTGTCTTAAAATTAGTTATATTTTCGCTACGAAATAGTTTCGTCACTAAAAGTTTTATATTTTTTGCAACCTTAGTGTTTGTCACTAATAGCATAAACAAATTAGTGACGATCAGTGTATCATCTCTATTTTACCTACGAAATTATTAGGTACCTAAAAAGTTCATCACTAATTATTGTCTGTCTTTTTGGAACAAAAATTAGAATCGTACTTAAATGCACACGCACATACATTTAGTAAAGAAACAAAAATTACGTAGTGATAGTTTTTTTTACTCAGGTTTTCCACAAAAAAAATGGATTGTCGCTAGTTATTTAGTAACATTAGTCACAATATCTAAAGTTATTGGTGAAAAACTAGTTTCATCTCTAATATTGTAGGCAACTAGTGAAAATTATTATTTGTGTAAAATTAGTTATATTTTAGGCTTTAGCGGTGAAAAAGCTTGGTGACTAAGAGGGTGTTTGGCTAAGCTTATAAGCTGGTCCACTTTCCAGTAGGACTTAAAGTCTCTTTGTAGAGACCGTATGCAACCATTGCACTTTTCAGTAGCCATATCCGCTCCTCCATGCGGATATTACACATCCTAGCAGCTCCTTCCACTCCTCTATGCATCTATTACACTTCCCAATAGCCCCTTCCACTCCATCATGCAACCATTACACTTTCCAGTAGTCAATTTCACTCCTCTATGCACCATTACACTCCTCCATGCAACCATTACTCTCCTCCATGACTACAATTAATTATAGAAGCTTGTCTTTATCCATCCGCCTATACAGATTTTGGAATTTTTTTTAACTTCTGCTATATAGTGGCAGTGCACTTCACAGATTTTGGATTTTTTTTAAAATGTTTTTTAAACTTCTGCCATATAGTGGCGTCGCACTTCATATGTTTTATCTCATAGTCTTAACCTTCAGCTTGGTGGTTGAATTCTAATTAATAACGGTCAGCCTCCAAAATTTTGTATTGGTAAATACAATTTTTGATTTTTTCACTTCTCTATGAGCAAATTAATGTCGATTTTTAAACTTTTTAAAAAAAAGAATAATCTTCCTAGTCTTGTTCTTGGTTGTAAAATGATAGGAAAGAATAGGGGGACTTCTGCACTAAATATATTGTTAAATGATTTCTCAATTTTAATTAGCTATTTTTAAAACCAATAGTCTTCTTAAGATAAATAAATATAACAATAATAAATGGAAAAAATACAAACAATATTATAAGGAACAATCATATTAATCCATTACTTTGATCCATTTGAAGCCAGTACATATAACTAAAGAGAACAAATTATCAAGCTATGCATTAGTTTATACTAGCACTTCAACAGAGAAGATCACAACCCCTGATGTAGCCGAACTAGTTCAAAGAGAAGAACACTCCCTTTCTTCAGATTATTGTCGACAGCAAATTGTTTCCACCCATTAACGAGTCTTCTCCGAACACCACTTGTGAGAGTCACAGCCCACTCCTTCCCATTATATCGAAGCATTGTTTTAACCGAAATAGGAGGAAGATAGCCACAGATACTCTTTGGAAGAAACTGCAAGAACATAATGTAAAGATAGGGTTCAGGGTTCATTGCTAGTTGGGATAATCAACAGTTATCAAATCATGAAAATATTAAAAAAAATACCAGATAGTCACGCTTGATGACGATCTGGGCGCGTCCATCCGAAACTATGGATAGAATTCATCTTCAATCCATCTGTTAGCATTCATGTTTAGAGTATCTATTTTGTTTAAAGAGTTGGAAATGTTGTTCTTGTGTTTAAGAGATATATATAGATTCAAAACTTTCTATTTCCCTCCAATCATATTTTTACTTTTCCCTATGTTTCCCTCCGAAAATCGCATTCCACATTTTAGTCGAAAAATGTCATCTTGTTTTCCCTCCTAATAAAGAAGTTAGAATACATTTTAGTTCAAAAATTTAATCATGATTTTTCTTTTATTATAATTAAGATTTTTGGTGAAGATTATTATAATTAAGATTAACCAATAAAAATATATCGAATTATATATTTACTATTATATAAATAAGGTCATACTAGTGAATGGACTTATATGGTTGCTATAGGCCGATATGTATGAAATTAATATAAACGGCTATTATATAAACGGTCGATATTACTAAGAATCAAAACGATATAATTAGCTGTCACGACCCGGATTTCCCACCCTCGGGAGTCGTGATGATGCCTACTAATGAGAGCTAAGCAAGCCAAATTTAATTACTTTTTCATTAATGACATAATTCCTTTTAACAATTATCGGCAATATTACAAAGCCATGAAATTAAATAATAAGCGGAAGTCTCAATATCATAGAAAACTGAATAAATATGCGGAAAAATCTCAACAAAAGCCTCTACCCAAGACTGGTATCACAGTTTCACAGACGGTCTAAGGATACTACACATAAAAGTCTGAAAGAAATAAACTCGACACTGTCTCCAGAATTACATGAAAGAAACAGGAATATAGATGAAGGGAGACGCCAGGGCCTGCGAACGCCTGCAAGGCTACCTCGGGTCTCACTGGACTGGAAGCCTGCTCCCACTCTATTACTGCTGTTGTCTGAAGCCTGGGATCTGTGCAAAATAGCACAGAGTGTAGTATCAGCACAATCGACCCCATGTGCTGGTAAGTGCCTAGCCTAACCCCGGCGAAGTAGTGACGAGGCTAGGACCAGACCACCAAATAAACTTGTGCAGATATATATACAAGTACAACGGAAAAGTAACGAGGAAATAACAATTTAAGCTGGGGAAGGGAGTATGCTTTAGGGGCAACAGTTAGAAATAGAATTTCAGGAATAATAAAACGTACATCTACAATTTAACTTCTAACAGCAAATGAAGAGATAAGGCAACTTTCATATTCAACTCATCTTGTTGCAGGCGTGCAACCCGATCCCAATTCTCAATATCTCGTGGTAGGCGTACCACCCGCTCCCATTTCAATATCACTCGTGGTAGGCGTACCACCCGCTCCCATTTCAATAAATCAACACTTCCTCTAAAAGAAAATTTACTCTAACAAACGCAACAATTAATACGAGTTCATAAGGCAACAAGTACACAAAATTTATGATTTACTAAGGAAAATAAATAATGACAAATAGCAATTAATTATGGATTATAAGGGGGCAATTAGGAAATTTAGTCATTTATATGTTGAATGTCACGTAGCAATTAGGTCACATAATCATGTAGCAATTAAGGCATAAATTCAAGACATAACGTTGCGCAAGGACACCTTGGTTCAATAATAACAAGTAACACGATAAAGGGAAATGTCAACGTAAATAATCACAAAAATAATGGAATAAGACAAGTAATGCACTTGAACTGATAACAACAAGAAAATCAATAAATAGAAGTAAAGGAATCGGGAAAATCAAAGACAAATGCACGGCATCACCCTTCGTGCTTTTACTCTCATCCTCATCAAGCAATTAGAATAACAATATGTGCACGGCATCACCCTCGTGCTTTTACTCTCTTTCCTCACATATAATCAATAGAATTGGCACGGAATGGTACATCGTGCGGCACGGCATCACCCTTCGTGCTTTACACTCTTTCCTCACAATAGCAAACAATGCATGGCATCACCCTTCGTGCTTTACGCTCTTTCCTCACAATAACCAAACAATGCACGGCATCACCCTTCGTGCTTTACGCTCTTTCCTCACAATAACCAAACAATGCACGGCATCACCCTTCGTGCTTTACACTCTTTTCTCACAATAAACAAATAATGCACGGCATCACCCTTCGTGCTTTACACTCTTTCCTCACCCAAACAACAATCACAAACAAGGGCAAGGGAATAAGCAAAATAATAATAGAAATCCCGGCAAGGGAACACAATAAAACAATTAAATTCTAGCAAGGGTACAACATCAATAATCTCAATGTCCCGGCAAGGTAAAATATTCAATAATCAACAACGTCCCGGCAAGGGAATAGATCAATAATTTCAATATTCAATAATTTCACTTTTAACACATAGTTCACATTATCACTCGAGCCAATGCTCCAAAGATTTACTTATCTCATATACCTTCACAATTTGTATTTCAACTCGAACCAACACTCCACGAAGTTCAAAGGTCACAATTTCTTTCACGAGATCTTTACAACATATAGAAGTCATCAATTAAACATGAAAAATATAACAAAGTCCCAACTATTCGCAAAATAAGGACTTACGATCATGCTAGACACCAATGTATAGATACTCGTCACCATGCCTATACATCGTACCCAACAATTAGCAAGTAGCAAATAAGACTCAACTCCTATTCCCTCAAGCTAGGGTTAAACCAAACACTTACCTCGATGCTTTGAACTCAACTCAATCCCCAACTATAGCTTTATCCCGTGATTCCACCTCCAATCCGCTTGAATCTAGTCATAAGTCACTTAATTACTTTAATAAACACTAAATGAATCAATTTGAATGCATAAAAATGAATTTCCCAAAGTTTTTCCCAAAAATTCCAAAATCGCCCCGGGCCCACGCGATCAAAACCCGAGGTTCGAACAAAAACCCGGTTACCCATTCCCCCACGAACTCAAATATGTCAATTGTTTTGAAATCGGACCTCAAATTGAGGTCCAAATCCCCAATTTTTGGAAAACCTAGGTTCTACCCAAAAATCCCAATTTCACCCATGAAAATCCTTGATTTTAAGTTGAAAACATGTTAAATGATGTTAATGATTGAAGGAAATGAGTAAAAATCAACTTACAAATAATTTGGAAGAAGTCTTGTTCTTGGAAAATCGCCTAAGGAGTTGTGTTTTGAAAATGGGGTGAAAAATGGTTCAAAATTCGACTAAGTATAAAAATATGCAGGTTGCAGATACGGGATTTGCGAACTGGGGTTCGCATTTGCGAACCCTTTCAAAATCCCAGGATTCGCATTTGCGATCATTTATGTCGCATTTGCGACCTGCCCATTTTCGCATTTGCGAACAAATAGATCGCATTTGCGATCAGGCAGCCAAGTCCCTAGTCTCGCATTTGCGATGCAGGGCTCGCATTTGCGAGACCCTCTTCGCAAATGCGAAGTCTGCTGCTCAGAAAAATACCAAAAATTCCAAAGTACAGAAAAATGCACCTGTGGCCTATCCAAAACTCATCCGACCCCTCGAGGCTCCAAATCAAACATACACACAACCTCAAAAACATCCTACGGATTTATTCGTGCGATCAAATCGCTAATATAACATCATATACACCGAGTTAAGCCTCAAATTTCATGATTCCTCCCAAATTTTCATAAAACATCAAATTTCCATTTTAAGTCCAAAACACGTCAAACGACGTCCGTTTTCAACCAAACATTACAGAAAAGCGCTTAAACCATATATAAGACTTGTACGGGCGCCAGAACCAAAATACGGGCCCGATACCACAGTCTTTTAATCAAATTTTATTTCTATTTTCCTTAATCATTTTCAGAAAACAATTTCACACATAATTTCATTTCTCGGGCTTGGGACCTCGAAATTCGATTCCGGGCATACGCCCGAGTCCCATATTTTTCTACGGACCCTGCGGGACCATCAAATCACGGGTCCGTTTACCCAACATGTTGACCGAAGTCAAATTTATTCATATTAATACCAAAAATTAGCATTTTTCACACAGAATTCATATTTAAGCTTTCCGGTTACGAGCCCGGACTGCGCACGCAAATCAAGGCAACCCTAAATGAGGTTTTCAAGGCCTCGGAAGTACAAAATGGGTAAGAAAACAGGTGATGACCCTTTGGGTCGTCACATTAGCATAGGTTATATGACTACAACCATATTAGAGAATGGACTTATATGGTTGCTATAGGCCGATATGTATGAAATTAATATAAACGGCTATTATATAAACTGTCGGTATTACTAAGAATCACAACGATATAATTAGCATAGGTTATATGACTACAACCATATTAGTGAATGGACTTATATGGTTGATATAGGCCGATATGTATGAAATTAATATAAACGGCTATTATATAAACGGTCGATATTACTAATAATCACAACGATATAATTATCATAGGTTATATGACTTCAACCATATTAGTAAATGGACTTATATGGTTGCTATAGGCCGATACGTATGACCATAATGAATTGAATTATATAAGCGGCTATTATATAAACGGTCGATATTACTGAGAATCACAATGATATAATTAGCATAGGTTATATGACTACAACCATATTAGTCAATGGACTTATATGGTTGCTATAGGCCGATATGTATGAAACTAATACAAACGGCTATTATATAAACGGTCGATATTACTATGAATCACAACGATATAATTAGCATAGGTTATATGACTACAACCATAATGGTGAATGGACTTATATGGTTGCTATAGGACGATATGTATGAAATTAATATAAACGGATATTATATAAACGGTCGATATTACTAAGAATCACAACGATATAATTATCATAAGTTATATGACTACAACCAAATTAGTGAATGGACTTATATGGTTGCTATAGGCCGATATGTATGAAATTAATATAAACGGCTATTATATAATCAGTCGATATTACTAAGAATCACAATGATATAATTAACATAGGTTATATGACTACAACCAAATTAGTGAATGGACTTATACTGGTTGCCATAGGCCGAGATATGTATAAAAGTAATATAAACGGCTATTATATAAACGGTCGTTATTATTAAGAATCACAACGATATAATTAGCATAGGTTATATGACTACACACATATTATTGAATGGACTTATATGTTTGCTATAGACCGATATGTATGAAACTAATATAAACGACTATTATATAAACGGACGATATTACTAAGAATCACACCGATATAATTACCATAGGTTATATGACTTCAACCATATTAGTCAATGGACTTATATTGTTGCTATAGGCCCGATAAGTATGACCATAATGAATTAAATTATTTAAACGACTATTATATAAACGGCCGATATTACTAAGAATCATAACGATATAATTAGCATAGGTTATATGACTACAACCATATTAGTGAATGGACTTATATGGTTGCTATAGGCCGATATGTATGAAATTAATATAAACGGCTATTATATAAACGGTCGATATTACTAAGAATCACCACGATATAATTACCACAGGTTATATGACTTCAACCATATTAGTCAATGGACTTATATGGTTGCTATAGGCCGATATGTATGAAATTAATATAAACGGTCGATATTACTAAGAATCACAACGATATAATTAGCATAGATTATATGACTACAACCATATTAGTGAATGGACTTATATGGTTGCTATAGGCCGATATGAATGAAATTAATATAAACGGCTATTATATAAACGGTCGATATTACTAAGAATCACAACGATATAATTACCATAGGTTATATGACTACAACCATATTGGTGAATTGACTTATATGGTTGCTATAGGGCGATATGTATGAAATTAATATAAACGGCTATTATATAAACGGTCGATATTACTAAGAATCACAAAGATATAATTATCATAGGTTATATGACTACAACCATATTAGTGAATAGACTTATATGGTTG